GTTCACTCAAAAATGAACTTCTTTCATGATTTACTCACACCCTCCAAACTTGTATGAGTTTCTTTATTCTGTTGAACACAAAAGAAGATATTCTGAAGCATGTTGGTAACCAGGCAGTTGCCGGTAGCCATTGACTTCCATTATATGGGAAAAAAAATACTATGGAAGTAAGTGGCTACCAGCAACTGTTTGTTACCAACATGCTTCAGAATATCTTTTGTCTTTAGCAGAATAAAAAAACACTTACAGGTTTGTGACAACATGAGGGTGAGCAAATAATGACCGAATTTTCATTTTTGGGTGAATGCCTTTAAATGTCAATATTATTAGTTATTTGTCTTAATTAGTTTTGATGCTTACATGTTATGTATATTATATGGAAGCTTGTTTTCTGCACAGAAAAAAAAATAAAAAGGTCAGTGCAACTTTTTATCTCACAGTTCAGATTTTTTAACACTTTTTTTTTCTTCTTGCGATTATGAGAAATGTCAGAAATGCAAGACAAAAACAGAATTGCGAGATACAAACTCACAAATCTGACGAATTGCAAGATTAAATGTAATAATTCACTTTTTTAAAATATTTTTGTTTTTAATTCCTTGGTGAAAACAAGAAAAAACTGAATTGCGAGAAAAAAGTTGTTGCAACTCAAAAAAATAAAAAAAGTGAATTGTGAGAAAGTTTCGCAGTTATCCTTTTTATTTTTTTATTCTGTGGCTGAAGCATGCTTCCATAATATCCTGTGTTTTAGACTCGGCGTGTGTTTACTGACAGCACAACAGCAGTTACAGGAGCTATAGCAGATCATGTATAAATGTATATAAATCCCACAGATAAACAGGAAATGACATCACGATAATGAAAGAAACATTGCTTATGTAACTCCTTTGTTTTCAGGGAGAAAATGCTCTTTTCCCCTGTATTTTTCTTTTATTTTACATCACACAATGTTTAAATAAACTATGAAGGAGAAGTTTAATAAAAATGGTTTTAACTGGAGTGTGTGGCAGCATGTTTCATGGGATCCATCTGTGTGGATGAAAGCAGCAGCGGGTTACAGATTGCACTCACTGTTTCCAGAGGGTGGCATCATTAGCCAGAAGCTGGAGTGTTCAGACTGGCTGGAGATCACATCATAACTGCTGCTTACACACACTAATGTTCAAAAGACTGGAGGTTTTCTTTTTTTAAAGAAATTAATACTTTTATAGAGCAAGGATGCTTTAAATTGATCAAAAGTGACAGCAAAGGCCAGTGTTGGGGAAAGTTACTTTTAAAAGTAATGCGTTATAATATTGCATTACTCCATAAAAAAAGTAATTGCATTACTTAGTTACTTTTTACGGAAAGTAATGCATTACATTACTTTTGTGTTACTTTTTGTCTCCTGGGCTGGGATTGCTTATTTATTTTTAATAAGAAAAACCCAAAAGTTATATTTTTGGCAACTGTAGAGGCCCTTTCACACCAAAAGTGAAATTAATAAACCTCGGGCTGAAGGAAGTGCATCTGTCTCTGCACTTCACTCACGATTTCTTACTTTTGACAGAACAATGTAACTTGCATTACCTATTTGAAAAATGATCTCCGATATTTATTTGTACATTTACGCATGGCTTTAAAAAAAGTCATCTGATTACGTTACTCGCGTTACCCTCAATACTGGTAAAGATTTATAATGTTACAAAAGATTTCTATTATAAATGAATGTTCTTTTGAACTTTTTATTCATCAAAGAATTCTGAAAAATAAAATGTATCAGTTTCTACAAAAATATGAAGCAGCAACTGTTTTCAACATTGATGATAATCAGAAATGTTTCTTGAGCAGCAAGTCAAGCATATTATACTGATTTCTGAAGATCATGTGACACTGAAGTAATGATGCTGAAAATACAGCTTTGATCACAGAGATAAACTACAGTTTAACATATTCAGATAGAAAACAGTCATTTTAAATAGTAATATTTCAGAATTTCAACTGTATTTTAATCAAATAAATGCTGCTTTTATGAACAGAAGAGACTTCTTTCAAAAACATTTACAAAATCTTCTTGACTCCAAACTTTTGCATCCAAGTATTTTCATGGGCTTTTTCGACAACAAATTACTTCTTGCAGAAAATAAAATAATTCACCTATTTGAAAAATGATCTCCGATATTTATTTGTACATTTACGCATGGCTTTAAAAAAAGTCATCTGATTACGTTACTCGCGTTACCCTCAATACTGGTAAAGATTTATAATGTTACAAAAGATTTCTATTTTAAATGAATGTTCTTTTGAACTTTTTATTCATCAAAGAATTCTGAAAAATAAAATGTATCAGTTTCTACAAAAATATGAAGCAGCAACTGTTTTCAACATTGATGATAATCAGAACTGTTTCTTGAGCAGCAAGTCAAGCATATTATACTGATTTCTGAAGATCATGTGACACTGAAGTAATGATGCTGAAAATACAGCTTTGATCACAGCAATATATTACAGTTTAACATATTCAGATAGAAAACAGTCATTTTAAATAGTAATATTTCAGAATTTCAACTGTATTTTAATCAAATAAATGCTGCTTTTATGAACAGAAGAGACTTCTTTCAAAAACATTTACAAAATCTTCTTGACTCCAAACTTTTGCATCCAAGTATTTTCATGGGCTTTTTCGACAACAAATTACTTCTTGCAGAAAATAAAATAATTCAGAAAACTTGCAGGACAATCGTGAAATGAAAGCAACGCCTCGCGCATACATGCCTGAACTGAAGTCTGGCATCTGCACGCTTACACGCTCCTGCAGAAAGAGACAGCTGTCCTGCGGAGGTCAGAGGTCAGGGTCAAGGACAATGCGGGAGCGCGTGTGACTCCTCGCCTTTATTCTGTTTGGGGTTGCTGGGAGACGAAGGGTCGGGGTCAGGTGGGAGGAGCCGAGCGCAGCGGCAGCTGTTAGGAGCAGCGGCGGAGGGGGAAGACGGATGGGTTTGGGATGAACAGAACACAATGTGAGAACGATAGACTGTTTACACACAAACACGAGTAATCTTGTCAAAATGACATTAATTAAACAGTTACATAGAGATATTGGTGTAATCATCACTTAATTGTGCAGAACTTTCTAGTGTGCTTTCTTACTGGTCCCTGATCTTCAGCTCTCTGTATGTGGCTTCAGTGTAAATCTGTTTTTTTATGCCTTTTTATGCCGACAGGCATTCCAGAATACTCTCATATGTTCATGTGTCTGTTTACCGATACGATCCGCAAGGTTGAGTGACTTTCTTTGTGTGAGTGTGAGTGTGTGTGTGTGTGTGTGTGTGTGTGTGTGTGTGTGTGAGTGAGTGAGTGAGTGTGTGTGTGTGATGATTCAGCTGCTCTGATTGACTGCTGCTTTATCTCGTTCCTCTTGTTCAGGCCATCTGGATAGTATGAACTGAAATGCAGGAGCACTTAGAGGATGACTTAGAGCACAGATGTCAGCATGTGCACCGTGTGGAAATATATCTGAACATTTTGACACACAAAGATCTTATTTGCATGGACGTAAAAACTGAATGTCTACCTGGGTATTAAACTGCTAATATTGATTTGTCTGGTTTTAAATAAGCAGTCTTGAAACTGAACATTGTATTGCTCAGATTTTGGTCTTTAATAGTTAGGAGACTTAAAAATCATGCTTTATTTAAATATCAACTTTGTCTCATATGCATTTCCTAGAATAGGTGCCTTCAAACTGGGGTCCATAGAAATGTTTTTTTTTCAAGTTATAAAAAAGATTAAATTAATAAATAAATTAGATTAAAATAAATTAAACAAAAATGTATCAATCAAAAATATTAAATATATTTTAAAAACTCATTTAGTTTTAAAAACTAAATTAGAATAAAAATGTTATTTTAAAATAAGCAAATAAATTAAATCAGCAAATAAAAAATTAGATTAGTACTATAGACAGCATAAAAAAGACATAAAAGAATCCCAACAAAACTATAATAAAAAATAAGATTAAAATAATCAATAATAAAAGTTGATTAAAATAAATTAGATTGCAAAAATTTATGTATAATAAATATATGATTAAAATAAATGAATAGATTATAATTCAAATTTAAATAATAAAATTAGATTGCAATAAGCAAATAAATAATACATAGTACAGGAATAAAGAGAGTTGAACAAACTTAATAGGAACAAGATATAAAAATAAAACATTACATATATTTATTATGTTAATTTTGCATTAAAACCTCCCCAATTCCTCTGGACAAATACTAAGAGATTATCCAGTGAGAGTGTGTATCTATAACATGTTGAGATCTCTGACTCCTGACTGCAGACAAATCTGAGAAATCTCATCTGACCTCTGCTGTCTGTGAGAAATGTGCACATAAACATCAGTGGCACAAGAATACGGAATCTATTTTGCGTTATTTCTCGACTTATCGCTCTTTTCTGAAGAGCTCGCGTTCACATGACCTCAAGGGGAAGCTCGTGCCGTGAATGCTTCACATATTTGCGGCTTTTCATATGCAGCATTCATTGACATATGCAGACTGGAATGAGAGGGGGGGGGGGGGATCTGTAGCATTGCGAATCCGATTCATTTTTGTGAATCGACTCGCTCGGGCGATTCACTTCAATGAACACTTTTACAACGATTCTTTAGAGCGATCCCAGCACGTTTAAGTCCTTTTTTTTCTACAAAAACTGCTATTTGGTACTAACAGCCTCACATTTTTACGTTAAAATTGATGTTAACAAAAATATTGTGGAGAAATAATTGACAATGTTATGAAGTAGCCTATTTACATTTATTTGCGTCAAGTAGCGACGTTTATTGGCAACCATAAAAAGCCTGTAAGTAGGCTAATAAATGATATAGTTCATAGTTGTTTATTCCAAGTATTACTACATTTAACAGTTTACTAGAGAACATCCCTTCGTTTCGCGAATCGTGTGGAATGAATCATTCAAGCGAATCGGTTCACACAAAAGATTCGTTCACGAATATCACTCGACATCTGCGAGCCTTACGTAACTCTCGAAGACTCCGCGTGCGGGTTTTGCTGAACGCGGAATACAGTCCGCCGCCAACGCGTTACACACGGTAACGTTACAGTCGCGCGAGCCGAACGGACCGGTGAACGAGGTACGAGTCCGATGAGCAGCTCGAAGTCCCCGTTTGACCTGCATGCGGTGAGTTCATGTGCTTTTCACGTTTATCAGCCAGTTCAGCGGAGTCGCTATGATAGAAAGTAACCTGAAGTTAAAAACAATATGTATGACTTTGGTAAAGTAGGCGTAGTTGCTTACTATTGGAAGTGTAACGTAGCCTACTGAGCGTCTCAGATGTGTTGTTTTGACTTAAATGTATTGAAGTAAAACATTAAAAAGCTACTAAACTACATTAAGTTGAGCTGAACCCGATGAAACTCGAGACTGCGGTATTTAACGTTACTGCTGACGGCCAAGAACGGGTTAATACTATCAGTCACCATTCACTATTAATACTATCAGTCACCATTCACTATTAATACTATCAGTCACCATTCACTATTAATACTATCAGTCACCATTCACAGATCGGCTTCGAGGAGTCCTGAAGCTTTCATTTTACTGTAAGTCAGCTGAAGTTTCACTTTGAGCTCGTGTGGGCGTGCAGCGGCTTCAGTTCAGACCTCACCTAATAGTTTGCGCTGAAAAAGTTTGTTTATGATATACTGTTTGTGTGTAAATATGCACGCGCTTAACAGATGCCAAAAGAATGCAAAGACCTCTTAGAGTCACGCTTGGTTCATTTCTGCACAGTGTCGTCAAATGCAAACCACTTTTGATAATTATATCACACTTAAGGCATACAATTCTACATTTATAGTTTTTAGAATTCATAATACCTTTCTTAATTATTGTGCATTAGAGTCTCAGTGTGACTGAGTCCAGCTCTGGCTGATGTTCATTAGTTTGGTCAGTGGTAGCTACAAACTATTAACCATAACTACTAAGCAGTCGGTTGATGGGAGGAAGCGAGTGCTCTGGTTTACAGTAATCACAGAGAAGAGTCATATGTGGAGTCATGAGGTGTCAATGGTGAAAGATTGTCTGTCTTTGATGGAGGTTGACTAAGTGGAAAGTACTGTGTATTTGGCTGTTCATGTTATTTAGTCTCCTCCTTTGTTTATCTAAGAGGAACTAGTCCTGTAAAAGCTTCATTTGAGGAGAGTAGTTATATTAAATGTAATACTTTTTACAAAAATAATTACATTTTATTACTTTATTTTTTTTAAACATTTAAAATGTTATTATAGAAAATATTTACAATAAAACATCAATTTTAAAGTAAAATGTTTCAATAAATATTGTGATTTATTCATTCAAATTAAGATATTAAATAGTATTAGTAAATTATTAACTGGTGACAATTTAATTACATGTTACTTTTTTAAATATTGTAAATGTTATTATAGAAAACACTTTAGAATATGCATTTTAAAGTACAATATTTTCAATAAATATTGTCATTGTATTACAATCAATTTTATTGATTAAATTTAGAGCTGGTTTTAAAATATATAATAGTGAACAATTCAGTTAATTTAATTACATTTATTTATTTTAAATATTTAAAATGTTACTTTAGAAAACATTTTAAATTAAAAAAAAATCATTAAACTTCAGATATTAATGTTACATTTTTTTGTACTTTTTAAAAACAAGTTAATTTTATTACTTTTTATTTTTAAGTAAAATATTTAAAATGTTACTACAGATATGAAATAAAAATGAAAATATATTAATTTTAAAATATCTTAAATTAGAAATATTAAAAGATGTATTTTTTGGATACACAAACACACCTTGCTTCATTACTGTGCGTTTCTCTCTCTCAGATATATGCTATATGTTGGGTAAAGGCCTGAAGCGGAAGCTGGAGCGGGAGGAAGAGAATGAGGGGATGAGCTGCCCTCAGGAGGTGTCATCCGCCTGCTACTGGCTCCAGCGGCAGACTGTGCTCAACCTCTCGCTGCTGAAGCTGCACAGCCATCCGGGACACTCGGAGCCGGGCCTGGCCCGCAGGGTGCTCATCACCAACACGCTCCGGCACATCCAGGACGAGCTGAGAGGGGAGGGCTTCCCTGTACGCCAGTCCGTCCCCAGCACCGGGCCTCCACTGGGCGTTGTTGAAGGGTGTCGGGAACGTCCGGCGGATCATGGGGTCGAGTCCCATAGTGAGGGCAGTTTGACGCCCGTGTCACGGTTGGAGGAGGACAGACATCTGCTTCTCTGTCTGTCTCCGTCCATTTCCAGACAGCAGCCCCCATCATCCTCTGTTATTAAAGACAGCTTCAGCTCAGCACTGGCTGAAATTGAAGATCTGTGCCCGACTGTGGGAATAACCACTTCATTTACTACAGAGACGGGCCACACGCTCACAGCAAACTCAGATGAATCCAGACAAACGGACCCAGATCTTTCTGAAATGAACAGCGGTATGGACCCAGCCTCATCTCTCTCTGACTCCGCCCAGTCAATGTTTGGCCACACCCCCTCACTTCTCGCTGATTTCTCATTGGACGATTTCCTGGTCACGGAAATAGACAGCTTGCTGTTCGACAACGTCCCCTGCGGATCGTCCCTGATCACGAGCTCGGGCGCGTCAAAAGTCGTTTCCATGGTAACGGACGACCTCGTAAAGACGCTCGCTGGTTACGGCGGGACGAGCCAATCGGTGCTTCCGTCTAATCAGACTTTCAAACTGGATCTGAACGAACTGGACCACATCATGGAGGTTTTGGTTGGGTCGTAATTTGACATGCAAAACGTATGTTTAAATTTGTATTTAATATTAAGGTCAATTTTTTACAGTATGTAGACCAAAAAGGGTTACTATGGAAAAGAAGGTACATGCATATGTTCGTATATTTATTTTGATACGGTAACCGAGGGCGCACAATATGATGTAATATATTGCAGCCATTTTATGTTATAGAATGCTATTTCAGTAATTTTTCTTGTGGAAATTTCATATGAATCACGTTATTTTAGTATTTAAATTTTTTAAATAAAAATTTTTTTAATTGCTTTCAGTTTGTTCTTTTAAAATAGATTAATTAAAAACAGACACGAATGAAGACAGTAACATGATTTCACGCCAAAACAGCATTTTCTCTTAAATTATTTTAATTTCTTGTGTACACTTAAAGAAAATTTACACTCGTTTTTTTTGTTGTTTTGTTTTTCAAAGAACCCAGGCATGCGCGATTGACCTCGGTACAGGCTCTTTAGAGATATCATTCATCTGTATGAGTTTTCCATAGGAATTTTCCCATAACAATTTTTACATGTTCCATAGTTTGACTGTACACAGTCCGAAGCCACAGTTAACTATGTAAGCAGTTCTTCTGTATATCTTTACAATGTGCAAAATCCTCCAGGAGACAGAATAAACAGTGACACAACTGGGAGAAAAAAAGCCAAAAGATGAGAAAACTCGTTTCTGGCGAACACTTCCCATCATGCACTCCTGGCGTACAGGACCGCAGTGACGGCAGACGTCCTCCAAAAGAGTCGCTTAAGATTTATCCGATTAAATAAAACACAGATACAGCATGACCAAAAACACAATGATAACAGGGAAATGAGCAAAACGATACAGCAGATATTGGTCCCTTATTCTCGATACACCTATTTATGTATATATTCAAGTTAATCATTCAACAATTCCTTCACTACATTATAGTCCAAAGCCAGTGGTTTCAACTTACATTAAAAAAAACTAAATAAGAACCGAAAAACATGAGCAGCTAAAGTTATAGTTTCATTAGTTGTCGATGGACTCATCTAGTGTTAGTGTGGAAAGCGAGTTAATTGTTCAACTATTTGCACAACAAAAGGATAAAGTGTTCACTAACGCCTGTGCGAAATCAAATAACCTAAAACCTACAAGTAACAACAATATTGATTGTAATGTAATAGCCAAACCGATTAAAAACTAAAGCCTTTGTTACGCAAAATCGAAAGAATATTCTGCAGGCGGTTTGGTTTCAAGTCAATATAACTACGCATTTATATATCTGAATACAAATCGGATCATTCAATTGTGCCATTGAAGGACGTTTGAGCCAGTGTTTCATAAAAACAACCTGAAAATAACAAAGTGCCTCTTTCTCTCTCATACGCACTAACTTAGATGTGAAGAATACTCGAAAGGAAATCGTCCCTGATTATATACAGATACACACAAACTCTTTTCCCACTGTCATTTTAACAGTTAAAATGATCTAGTCTTTTCTCCTCTACAGCGTTTGATCATTAGCTGATTATTTCATCCACTCTCTCGTATGTTGGACAATGTATATGAACTTAAAAACGCCCGGGAATACGATACACGGGAGCTAGAAAACCAAAAGTCTGAAATTAAAATCATAACTCTCAGTATCGTGACAATTGGAAAGCGATACACAGAGAAGGAGAGGTGATACGGCGCGGAGGAGAGGACCGTGTCAGTCGGGCGAGGAGGAGGGGAGGAGAGGAGTCAGCGTGGAGGGGAACATGAGGACTTTAGCCTGCATGAACGACAGATCCGGCAGACCTGAGATCACTCGCCGAGCCTCTTCACTCAGATTCTCCTCCTTCTGCACAGGCTTTCTGCTGAGAGAGATCAGAGAGAGAGAGAGATCAGACACCAGAGAAAGAGATCACATTACAGAGAAACATTTAAAACAGATCACACCGTTTAGAGAGAGATCAGACAGATCACAAGAAGAGATCGGACAGAATAGATGTCGATCAGGCAGATCACAGAAACAGATCAGACAGAACAGAGAAAGAGATCAGAGAATAGGAGACAAGATCAGAAAAAGAGATCAGACAGAACAGACATAGATCAGAGAAAGATATAGAGCGAGAGATCAGAACAAGAGATGAGACAGATCCGAGAAAAATACCAGAACAAGAGATCAGACATAGATCAGACAGATCAGAGAAAGATATCAGACAGATCACAGAAACAGATCAGAACAAGAGAACAGAAAGAGAGACATATCAGATCAGAACAAGAGAACAGACAGAATTGACAGATCAGATAGATCTGAGAAAGACATCAGACTGATCACAGAAAGAGATCAGACAAAATAAACAGAGATCAGAGAACAGGAGACATATCAGATCAGAACAAGAGATCAGACAGATCAGAGAATAAGGGTGCTTTGACACTAGCACTTTTGGTGTGCACCCGGGTTTAATTGACGTCAGAGTTCGGTTCGTTTGGATGACGTGAACGCTGTCTTCCGAACTCGGGTGCGCACCCGCGAACCGTACCAGAGTCCGCTTAAAAAGGGTGGTCTGGGGTACGGTTCACTGCTGATGTGAACCAATCGTACCAGAGCATTTGCAGTGCATTCGTAAGGCAGATGTAAGTGGCGTTATGTACTGAAGCTTTGGAAACAAAACCAACGGTTCAAAAACATAAATATAAAATTGAAGAGAGCAATGCTACACATTTTGCCATCTTCTCCTGCACCATCGTTACTAAGCAACGGGCTAAACAGCTGCTGGCCTGATGACGCAAACGAACCGCGGTTCGGACCCAAATAATATAATATGAGCACAGTCCAGCGGGGGCAGGGGGAGGGGGAGCAATCGAACTCGGGTTCAGACCAAGCAATCGAACCAAGTGTGAAAGCACTCTAAGAGGCATATCAGTTCAGACATATCATAAATCAGACAGATCAGAGAAAGAGATCATACAGACAGAAAGACCAGAGAAAGAGAGACATCAGATCAGAACAAGAAATCATACAGATCAGAGAGAACAGATAGATCAGACCAGATATTAGACAGATCAGATTAGACAAAGATCAGACAGCTCAGATCAAACAGAACAGGCTCAGATCAAACAGAACAGACACAGATCAGAGAAAGGTATCAGCGAACAGTCAGATAAAACTGATCAGAAAAACATCAGACAGAGAACTTCAGAGCAGCTTTTCTACATAATGATTTTCTGGTGTTGTTTTTTTTGTATTACTTTAGTGACAAAACATCCTAAATCGGCAGCTACCACAGTTTACAACATCTCTTTCTTGATTTATTATTTGATCAGACTTAGATAAGTTGGATTAAAAATGCAAAATAAGCGTATTTTCCAAGGGTAATGACTAGACGCCAATCATTAAATTAACTAACAAACAGTATGAGTGGCACTACAGAGGTAGATATGTACTAATAAAAGTTTCAAACAGTAGTAAGCTGCAATGTCATCACATCCAGTTCTAAACATGTTTATTTTGCATTTTTATTCAATTTTGTGTAAAAACATCTAGCCTTTGTCAGTCGGATCATATGTGACCCTGGAGCATGAAACCAGTCTTAAAGGTTCCATATTTTACACCTTTCTGGAGTTTTATTTTAGGTTTTGATGTCCTTAAGAATATATATTTGCGGTATAAGTACCAAAACCCATCTCAATCTATTTTTACAGCTCCTCTCTCAGGAGCTCTGCTGAGAACAGGTCCAGTCTGGCCTGTCTAATTAATATTCATGAGCCTCTCTTCTGATTGGCCTGTTGTTTTCTGAGTGACGCACGGCCAGGCCAACCACAGGTAACTAGGGTCAGCCGACGTCACAGCGCTAGCTGGAGGCAGCAAAACAAAGAGGAAACTGGAGGCGGCCCATTCAAACCAGCGCAGATTCGGCTACATAAGGAGCTTAAAATATCATCTTGTTGTGATGTTGGGTGCCAGAATCGATGTAATACAGCCTCAAATTAGAAATTTGATCATATTGCCAGACAAAAAAACAACGACAGCTGTGGTTAAACGCGATAAAACGAGCAGACTGGACAGAAACACACTGCACACTTCTTATCAGAAAAGGTTCAATAAAGTATTGTTTTTTGTCACCTCATAGAAACAATCCTGTCAGATCGAGTGTAACGTTACAGGTCGGCCGATCTGGTTTCGTGGTTAGAGTTAACCTTTGCGACATATTTCCGCAATGTTGTCTGGGGGTTTGGCAAAAGGAGAGTGGGACTGTGGGCGGTGCTCGGGGTGGTGACTGAAGACGGTGACTGTGTAGTTCCGACGTCAACTTTTTACGGAAGTCACAACGGTTCGTAAAAAATCACAGCTACTTTATGCAGGCTATGTGCATTTTACTGTGGACTGACTGTTTTGAAACTTATATGGTAGTTACATAGCACCTAGACCTCAGTTATCATGAAAAAAGCCAGGATATTTCAGTTTTGAAATTCAAGTCGCTGGGGTATATTTGTAGCAATAGTCAAAAATACATTGTATGGGTCAAAATTGATTTTTCTTTTATGCCAAAAATCATTAGGATATTAAGTAAAGATCATGTTCCATGAAGATATTTTGTAAATTTCCTACTGTAAATATATCTAAACTTAATTTTTGATCAGTAATATGCATTGCTAAGAACTTCATTTGGACAACTTTAAAGGTGATTTTTCTCAATATTTTGATTTTTTTGCACCCTCAGATTCCAGATTTTCATTGAATAGTTGTATCTCGCCCAAATATTGTCCTATCCTAACAAATCCTAACTATCCATACATCAATGGAAAGCTTATTTATTCAGCTTTCAGATGATGTATAAATCTCAATTTCGAAAAATGTACCCTTATGACTGGTTTTGTGGTCCAGGGTCACATGTAATGAGTGCAAGCCTACAGAAAAACCTGCTGTTCTGCATCAGGAACTGTTGTGTGGCTCCTCCTGGTGGCCCAGCAGCAGTGCTGTGAATGAGTGAGGCTCACTGACCTGGTGGAGGTGCTGGTCTTCTCGACGGTCGACATGAGGCGAGCGAACGCATCCACGACTCTACTGCTGCCTCCGCTGACGTCCAGCTTCGCTTGGGTCAACTCGTACAGCTCCGGATCCACGCCTGCACACCATCACATGCATATCAGCACTCTTTTGTGATATGCCAGCGTATGTACACATGCAACAACGATCGTGTAATTGCACGGTTAAAGATAGAGATGCAAATAGAGCAGAAATCACGAACAC